TACAAGATCTCCAGGTTTTAGCACGTGTCCAAGATGCGATCGTGTACAAATTTGCTGGTCATCGTGCCCAACCTATAAATCCTTATTAAAAACTTCAAAACAGTAAAAGTTCCTTTAAAACAATAAAAATTCTTCATAATAAGTTAAAGAGGAAAATAAACTCTACCAAGCTTTGGATGTTTATAAAACAGCAACTTTACACTGCCTTGAAAGTTGTCTTTTCAACTACGTCCTCGTACAAGTTCTGCTCCCCCTCTACCCATCCCCTCGTCTCCCTCATCCTCACCTTGCTCCTTACATCCCCGCGGTTGCGACACACGCTAGATCACATTTGCTGAATAAGAGAAAGTAAATAGTGACGCAACCAGCTACGAAACGAAGCAGTGGTCGCCATCGGAGCAATCTTCAGCGAAATGTAGCATTCTCAGAAAACGAAAGGACGTCAAAGACACAACATCTCTAAAACAGTGGCTGGCTGGATGAGCTACGGGGCAATGAAACAGAGCACTGGCTATGTGATGTGAAGTGAAAGCTGACAAGGTGGCTGAGACGGAGGTTAAACGACTGCACGGAATTATGAGAACGAGCTGGAAAATATGCAAAAATATTGCAAAATACAGTTGTTCTAAGCAAAAGTAAAATAAAGAAGACCAAAAGCCGTAGTACGAAGGAATGATCTACCTGGTCGCTAGGAACCACCCATACATCGACTAAACGATGCTTCGTTGATATGCGGCCATGCCCGGATGCTCGTTTCAAATTACCCACATCCTCAACATCAAGAACGTAGAACTCCACTAACTGCTTTGATTGGAATACAGCGTGAAATGGGTCACGATAATACTGCGTCCTGAAAACCGTTAATGTTAAGAACTGTGAAATGAAATTTACAAAATGAATTTTCACGGCATCGGCAGGGAAGGGCATGAGGACTGAACTGCTGAATGCCAACCACAGTTACGGAATGTCAAAGGCTTTTCCCAGAAATTCAGCTGTTTAGACTGTGGAGAAGCTGGAAATGCGCCACAAGCGCATACATACATTCACACATACATATACACACATACTTACATATATACGTACACACATACATACATACATATATACATACATACATCCACACATACATATACACACATACATACATCCACACATACATATACACACATACATACATACATACGTACATTTATACGTACACAATTGCACTGGTTCTCGCCAATATGCATTTAGTATTTATTCGAATAAGTGAAACGCATAAAAATTAAATTGGGGTTTTGACCAAACACGAAGGTAGCTCAGATCAAAAGCTGAAGCAGGAAAATGCAGCTGTGCATTTACATATTAAAAGGTGCGAGCTACGGCCATTCCGGCTGCAATGTGTACATGGTATAAATTTCATGGCATAAAATTTTTTTTTGCGCAATGTTGGAAAAAATGAAGAAGGTCAAAGACTCTCGTAGAGCGACTTAAGAAAAATTTAACAAACAAAATTCAACTTCTTCAACAACGCCACAAAAAAAAATTGCGAAAACGTACGAATTTACGTCAGCAATTTGCAGTGTTGCAGGATCGATCAAAGTGACAACGTTGTTGACACGCACGCAAACAAGCAGTTGATTCATATTACCCAGCGATTGTGCAGTTCTTTTGGGCAAGCAAACTACGCAATCGCGACAAATTGGTACTACCTCCACACAGAATGTATGCTTGTAGTCGTACGTATTGTTTTTTGTGTCGTGCGTTACCAGTTCCTGCAATCTTTCAACAGTTTTTTCAGGAATATTATAGTACAAACCTGTTTCGCCATAAAATACTAAAATGATATAATAGTATATACCACTCTCTACATCTGTGGGGCCTGCGGGCAAGCGTGCTACCTACGCACGGGCCCTTGAAAATTTCTCCCGGACAAGTTGCTAACTCGGGAAAGTGAGAAGCTAGAAGACTGGGATTTTGAAGGGATGTTTCCTGACGGTCCTGACGGCCAGTCTGAAATTCTTTTAGCTAGAGACATCTGCCAGAAAAACCAGTGCCGTTAGC